TAAAGGATAAAAGAGTGGGAGTTGTATTCCGCGTCGTTTTGGCTCGGGGATAAGAACGGCGACGGATTCCGAGAAATAATTGCGGATTGCATCATTCGTAATTCGTACGACGATTAATTTATCTAGGCGCGAGCGTGATGCACACTCATCGATTGCGAATAAGTGAATTCGCGTAGGCGAGACCCGGTGAACTTGGCGTGGAAAAATGGAGTGGAAACTCGGATGATTTTATAATTGACCGTCCCGCTTTAATTATGCAACGGCCAAAGATAAAATTGAATGGGAATAAAAAAAGACTCGAAATATCAATCCATCGAGGTCTAGTAGAGATATTATATTCCGTGGTACGATACTGAAATATCTTGTTGGATGGTTAGCCACACGATCGAGCTTGGCAGTTTGGTTCGGAAGCAAGTGGCCTGAACGTACGTACGGTCACGTAGATCTAACGTAGTGGAACGAATCGGCACGGCTTGGTATCGTTCGAATGCCGATGATGAAAGAGGAAGAGATAGGTAAACAGATAGATGGACTTGGCGGAGAAAGACGGCAAGCAACGCGTGACAAGAATTACCAGTCGAAACCGCCTATCTGCATACACGTGTTGCATTCGTATACCGCCAATACGTAGGGGAAAATAATTATCGTGGAAGACAGTGGAGCCGTTGTTCGACTCGCTATTTAATCGGGCCCCCATTAACGCGAAATCTCCATTCTTTATTCGCGCTTTCTTCGCTTCTTCTCATCGAAGCCTTGCTCTATTAGACTCGCGCTCGCTATCGTGATTTACGTTATAAATTTTCCATCGAGTTCAACCGTCGTGGCGCTAGAGAGGCGGCCGGTATCTACAAAAAATAGAATGTTTAAACCGATAGCGAGAGTCGGCGGTGGTATAGGGAGAGCCAGAAGTAACCTGAATATTCAATGAACATGAACGTTGTTATCAATATTATAGATAAACGCGAATATCGTGTACGTATATGTATATCACTATAGAGCGTTTATCTTTTTGCAACTCGAAATACCGATTATTCTAGAAAGTGGGATTTCGTGTGCAACGTGTTCTTACGATCTCATCAACACCCTGAATTCCGTAAACATCGAAACCCTTCCGAATCGGTGCAGAAAGATACAACTTATCCTATTCCTATTCGATATTTCCTCCACTCGATAAATTCGAAATTCATCAACCGTGATCCGTCGAACTTATGCGTGTGCATCTATGAGCGACGAGCCGAGTCTGGTGACGGAGGAAGGGTGGTTGGATGGACCGACTCGTCCATCGGGGACGGGAGGGGAAAGTGGAAAGAATTAGAGGGGAAAGACTCGTAGAGTGCAACGAGCAGGGCGAGACCCAGGGATCGAGTGCATCGTGAGAGAGGTGAAGGGAGAAAGAGGAGAGGAGAGCAGCGTAAAAGGAGTGAGCAGAAGAAAGAGAAAGAGAGAGAGAGAGAGAAAGGAGTGGAAGAACGTAGGTACGGCGAGGCTAGAATGTTGCATCGAGTCGCAGCGCTGTCGTTGCATTGCGTACCGTTGCGTCACTCTCTTGTGCAGCGTTTCATTCAACTTGGAGTCCCTCGCACGAAGGTCAAGCGGTCGCAGCTATCGCTCTGCGCGCCGACTCTGTTGCATCTCCCTTCCTCTCCTCCCACTATCCTCGTAATAGTCAATTTCTTAATTCGTCTATCAAGTTTATTCTTTTTTTCCTCTTTCTTTTTTCTTTTTTTTTTTTTTTTTTTTTTTTTTTTTTTTTAGATCTTTCGTAAAATATCATCGATATATTCGAAACCAATAATAAAACTGTCCTATATAAAATTCATCCTCGTCCATAAATACGTTCGTCTTCCTTCCATCTAAGTTTGATTTCGTCTCGATCAAACCGTTGCGGTTTCTTTTTCTCTCTTCCTCTCCAACCTTTTCAATATCTTCGTCCCTTTTCATTCTTCGTCTTCCTCCATTCTCCGGCCATCCGTCTCGTGTCTCTCCCCCCTCTCTTTCTCTCTTTCTCTCTCTCTCCACCTCATAGAGCGCTATTTCGTTTCTCTGCCCGTTTCTTATTCAGCGATTTTATTTCTTTCTCCCGCGTCGAGCTCTCCTTTATCCGCCCCCTCCACCTCTTGTCGCTCCCTGCCCATTCTCCTCCCTCCCGTTGCTCTTTTTCCGCTCTTCTCTCCCCATCCGGCACGTCAACTCCAGCAGGTTCACCGTCCATTCATGCCTCCACCGAGACGCCGTCTCTCCTCGCGACTCTTTCATCCTACCTTCCTACGATCCTGACCTTCTTTCTTCCTCTTCTTCCTCCATGATTCTTCCTCGTCGCCGATCCGCCACGATCCTTATCGCCCCCTTGGTCGAGCCCTCTTCTCTTCCACGTTCCATCTTTCACCAGTCTTCGTTTTCTCTCGGTCCCTCGATATGCTACTATAACTACGATCCCTCTCGAGCTCCGTTTCGATAACTGTACCAAGAACCGGCCGACATATGTATGCTATGGTAGTATCGTAGTACCGAGATAAAATGTGAATGGATATATATGCGAGTAACGTGGATTTACCGATTACGAAACTTATAAATGGAAAACGATTGTTGGATTAACTAGTAGTATATTGATACTATACGGTGAGTAATATCGCGATGAGACAAGTCACTATGATGCGAACGTAACGTATTTGTTACGTTCATCGATTACGAAATTTATAATGGAAAACATCGGAGAAGAATCCATTCCATTCGTTGATCTCGCTATAACGATTAAAATTATTCCAGATAAATAATTCCAAAAATAACTATCCAAACTATATCGACTGTTTATATTATATTTTATAAAAATTTGAATGATTAAAAACACTTGGAAAATGTTTGAAAACAACTTTACGTCACCTTCTTCCATCCAACTCTATTATTTTCTTTTCAACTCTTTTCAAATTGATCCTCGGATCTACGGGTTCGATGCTAAAAAAAAGAAAAGATTCTGTGAATGGTCCAGATTAAAAGGAAAGTGTGCGCTTTCTTCTGTTTCAGCGGGATGCTAGAGGCGTGGGCAGTTATCTGGGAGGCGGCAGCATTAGCGACGGTGGCGGCATGTTGACGGGTATGGCGAAGTTGATGAAACAAGAGCTGGCCTCTGACGCCGAGGAAGAGGGCCTGGTGCCTGCCCTCTCCGGCAGGTTCACCTCGATGCGGAAAGTGCCCTCTCTCTCCGACCTATCCGATCCAGAGAGCTCCTTGGGTGAGTTTTTCTTTTCCATCGCTTTTCCACGCGAACAATTGCTTGGATTAACTGGATTTGTCTTTGTATTATCGGTAAATTCGACGAATGAGATTTCGATCGGTATGGGCCTCTTTTTTTAAATCAGTAACCCAAGTTTTTGCGAGTATTTTAATTTTATAAAGTAAAGTATCTTCCGCACAACATCGAGGCGTGTTTCACTGCTATTGATGAGAAGAATTTCACAGAAGAAGGATAGTTTAAGAAAGTGTTTACAGAGATTTTTGTAAATTTTTGTTTTAAATTTTTCTTCATGGTTACGATTATGCATATCAGGACGTTGCCACGATTGAATAAAGAAAAGAATATTTCTCGCTATTTAAGTAAGGTTTCCTTGGCGCACTGTGTGGGTAGATAAGTTTACGCAGCCTCGCTATTTGAAAGGATACGTGTATAATCGAGGGTCTTCCGCTCGGCTTGAAACGTTTGCAAGTATCACGGAGATCTTTCAGCTAATAATAGAAGTTCTATAAGAAGCATAGGCCGCGAACTAATCAAGGGTTAACCGAGTACTTCCACTTTGCGATATTCAATTTGCGTTTTATTCGATTAACGAAGGCCTAATAACCGCTTCGATCGATCGACAAATCCGTGATTTCCAGTTCCGTTTCTCGGTTTAACCCGTCCCCCGTATCCCCGTCCCATTGTTCGATAACCTAGTTTCAAAAATATTTCGCGATGTGTGTTCGGATGCATTACGGACGAAATTAAATCAATACCTGTTTCCCGTAATATATGACCGCATCGACAACGGCGAAAGGTTAAAAAGGTATTGAGATACGAAAGATTGCCTAAGATTGAACCTATAGAAAATTTAACGATCCAAAAACTTCGTCACAAATCACATCATACTTGGAATATTATTAACTCCATCTATCCATTCGAAATTTATTTCTCATCAGCCGAACCAATCGCGAAAATGCCACGAATAAAATACGTAATTGATACTTGTTTAGGCGATCTAGATCGGATAAACTCCTTATCTCGGCATTTTCTTTAATTATCTCACACACATACATATATATATACATACACACGTACACGTATGCACATTGTTTTCACAGAAGAATCGAGAATATTCTTGCGTATAGATCGGCCGATCGAACGATCCGCCGTCGCTCGGATCGTAACTATGCAATTTGCGTGGCGGGGGTATCGGGTGTTGGCGTGAGAAAATGACACGTTCACGCGTGGTGTTTACCCGGCCGGTCTAGTAATCGTCGTCAGGCAAATGTTTCAATTAGCCGTGTACGCGGCCATTGTAGTTTTAACGCGCCACAAGATACCTATTGTGAGCCGAGGGGGAGAGAAAAGGGAGAGGAAGGGAAGCGTTTCGTGGCTCCCTTGTGTGACGTTAATTCACCGCGCGTTTCAGTAGGCTATGGGAGGGAGGGGACGTTGAATTTCCCCGCAGTCTCGCAGGCATATTCATCGGGCATCTTTACAGTTAATGCACGCTGTTATATGTGCCACGAACGCGTAACAGGTTTCCGGGCGGGGAAATAACGTAATCGTAATCGTAATCGTAATCTTCTAATTATCGCATCCCCCTTCCCCTTTTACGTAGAAATCTCTCGCGTAATGGACGAGGAAAGTTTCTTCCTTATTGTTACCGTTTATCTTCGTTTCTCTTTGTTGGATTATTTATTGGATTTTATTTCGTTAAGTATAAGTATTTTGTATTTCTGTAAGAATTTATATAAGGATACTTTCAATTTTTTTTCTTGAAAAACTTCAGTAAAATATCAAATTGAACGTATAGCGTAAACAGGGAGATGTAGGAATTGTCGTGTTTGAGGAAAAGGGGAGGGGAAAAAAGTTTAAAATGATGGAATAAAAAAAAACTGGACGGGAAAAAGTTTAATTTCTGAAGATTCGAGTGATTCTAGATGGCATACGGACGGTTAATGTTATGATAATGTACAAATGATTCCACGGAAATTCGTCATTTATTCATAGAACGCGTTATCGTTAGTCTATCAGAGAAAGATGGTCGAAAGAGAAGAAGCTTGGAGCGCTTATTTCTTCTTCCTTTCCGCGTATATTCCACGCTCTTTTATCAAACGTTTCGATCGAAATCGCGCCTAGTCAACGGAAACTCGTCGACTCGTTCCGCCTCGAGTTTACGGAGGATGTAAAAATGGCTTGGAATTTTGTTTACCACCTCGAGGGCCGATGATGGAAAGGGTTTATGTGGGTAGTGGAAAGAATTCTAGAATCAGCTATTCCGACATGTGCCTCGGTTGAAACACGATCGATCCAACGCCGTGGTTGTAGTGTCCTGTTAACCGTTGGATTGTGACACTAAAAGGTGCACTTACATCGAATGATGCTTGCATAATATGAGCGGTAGCTGCATAAGCACTTACTCGTGTATAACTTGTCCGATTAGATCGCGCAGGCCAGCTCGCACGACGTTGCGTGTTGTGCTATTTTAAAATTTAAAACGGCCGCGAGGAAAAAAAGACGAGAGAGGGCGACCGATGATAGAGAGGGGGATGAACCGATGTTTTCATCATTTCGTTTTATTTCTCTCTCTCTCTCTCTCTCTCTCTTCGAGAAAAAAAAGAAAGAAAGAAAGAAAGAAAGAAAAAAGAGGTGCTCGTTGAAAAATAATATTCGTCGAAAGTATGCTCGTAAGAGAATTCTCGGAAAAGGCTTACGAGTACCGAATGCGTATCTGTATTCCAAAGGTACGGGACAATTGATCGAGAGTGCATATAATAGTCTAAAAATATCGCGAGTCGATTTGCATACAATTTGCTCGAAGCTTCGAGGCTCGAGCCGACGTCTCGAGCAAACGAATTCCACGAACGACAGGTTAGCGTCTCTATATGGTGGTCCATAGAGAAATCGCGTCATATCGAAGTCAGGGTTGATTCGAGGGGTAAATTGCGTCGACGGATCGCGAGGACGAGTTACCCGTTCGTCTTCTATCCGCCGTTTCGATCGAGTCCAGAGATCCGCAGCGTGCGCTCTGTTGCACAAATTTCCCAATATTTCCATTATACGATCCGTAATGTTTTAATGCAACGTCTGCGAGCCGGGGAAGGAGTTTCGCCTCGTCCTTGACAGTGAACAACACTTTGACGGTGCAATTGCGTCAATGCAGCCGGCAAAGTGGTTAATATGCGCGATGTACACCGTTCTCTTTCCTTTAAGGAATCGGACGAAAATATCGATCAGCCTTGGCGGTTAAAAAAAGAAACGCTGGAAAAAAATATTCATCGGTCCAATCGGCGTTCATCTCTTTCTGATCTCTTGCATCTCTTTTCAAATATCCTTTTTAAATAAATATCGATCGAGGAGAGAAAAATATTTCCTCCCAAGATGAAGAAATCAACAAACGTATAGATTTTCGTGCGAAAATTTTTATTCCCCTTTTTCGCGGGAGGGGAAGGAGATTGGAACGGAAAGATTGGCACGTGGAAACGAGGAAAAACGGAGGATAAAGGAGGAGAGGAAATCGGATGGCATAAAGCACGAAGTAATTCTTGTTACTCGCGGCTCGGCGAGCACGATCAAAATGTAGCGAGAATTTACGAATTGGATAATCAGCAGCATCCTCATTAAGGCCCCCCCACTGAAACGCCCCCGCCTTCCATTCTCCTTTACTGGCGTGTGTACGTGCGCGTCTATGTACTCGCTCTGTCCCGCCGCTGGATCGTCGTCCACCCACTTATCTACTCCTCGCACCGTTTAAAACGCACACACATGTATATAAACGTATATACATACACGATCGCAATTTTTCACTGATTCCACGGTTTTCCAGCTTTCTCGCTGTATGTGAGTCATCCTTGAAAACGTTTTTAACACCGGTGATTCCGCGCTTTGCTTTCCATCGACGCGATTTTCTTTCTCCGTAAAACCACGAATCGAGAGAGGAAGAAGAACTCTCAGAGGATTTTCCTCCTTTCATCGATAGAAAAATGATCGATTGTTGTTGGGAGAAAAGGAGAATACGTGGAATAGATTTTGGGCCAATTTTTCCTCCACCTCCGTTTAAACGTTTTAACGATTCTTCGAATTTTCGATCTCAGAGTGAGCGAGATGCGAACGATGATAGCGTAGGATAAACTCGATCCAAGAGAAATAAACAGCAGGAATTTCTCGAATAGTCGGTTCGTTTATACGTCGGTTCATTGTTCCAAATCTGTAATTATTTACAAAGAGAGAGATAGAGAAATAGTTGTTGGAAAGGTGGCTTGAATCACGCGATCGAACCGAGATGATGAATGTCGTGGACGATCGATTTATCAGTCGCGAAGAATACCGATGGAATACGATAAAAAAGTTTGGACGGAGGGAAGAACAGGCGAGGAGGAACGTTAATCGAGCGGTTTAAATCCGCTGCAGTACTAATTAGAGGTTTCGTTTCGATCCTCGCTCGCGTGTGTCGCTCGATCAAGCGTTTTTTCCCTCCCCCCATGGAGGAAAATGAGCCATCCAACTCTGGAGAAGCTGGTGGAAAAAAATTTGGAATCCGAGGATCGAAGGCCAACTCGATTCACGCCATTGATTCCTTGCTTGCTCGTTAACACCAGTTTTTATTAAGTCTTTCCTAATTTTTACGAGGAGTCGATGAAAATCATAGCGTTGAAGAGGATGTTTAAAACTTGGTTGTAAATAAACTTGAAGAGAATTTATTAAAACTTTGGTAACACTCGTATGCCGTGTTACAATATTGAAATTCGATTAATTCTTTTGAAAAAAAGTTTGCGTCGAAAGTTTTTCATATTCTCTCTGAATTTGCAATTTAATCTAAGAACTTTTTTTACAATGGAACAATAGAGCTGTTTGAGTAAACATTTTTTCAACTACGAAAAATACTCTATTTCATAAATAAAATTTGCATAAAAGTTCTATTTAAAGAGGCGGTGAAACCTCATTGATTTATATTCATATTTTATTCTCTCCGAGCAAGACAAAAATAGGGAAAAAAAAAAAAAAAAAAAAAA